AGAGAGACAGAGACAGAGAGAGGTTTTCCGAGACAGGGTTTCTCTGTGTAGCCCTGGATGTCCTAGAACTTGATTTGTAGACCAGGCTGGCCTCAAATTCAGAGACCTATACATACAAGCAGTTGACCTGCTTGCTGGTTCAACTCAGTTCTAAGAAAAATCACACCAGGGTTATTGTGAAAACTGATAAGCTGATTCTAAAAATTTACCCCAACAGCCAAGGTAATCTTGACTAAAAATGAAATTAGCCTTTTTTACTTCCAGGTTTATTTAACCTTTTTTGTAGACAGGACTCTCATAAAAATAGCATGCACATATCTTATTTTAATGGCCTTTTCTGAAGTTTTGAATCAGTTTGGAATATTATACCATATACTGCGTATTTTACCAACTATCATCTGGTTCTCTGGGATTTTTTTATTTTTTATACCTCCTGTCAGCTTCCTACCCTCCACTTAATAAAATCATAGTACTGAGATATAATTTTGCTGGAATAGAGGAGTAGTTATATGTTCTCTAGTCTTCTGAAGTTGTGTGTACTGGCTTTTACAGGTAGTCTTTACAGTGATTTCTCAGATAGAATCTCAGTCTCCACCCCCCCCCCCAGTGTGTGTGTGTGTGTGTGTGTGTGTGTGTGTGTGTGTGTGTGTATTCATGTATGTGAGTAGAAGCACAGGTGTGAAAGTGAGAGAACCTCTGGTGTCCGTTCTCACTATCCACCTTGTTTAAGACACCTTTGGTGTTTGCTCCTGTGTACACCAGGCTAGCTGGCCCATGAGCTTCTTCGGAGTCTCTCTCCACCTCCCATCTCACCGTGAAGCGCTAGAATTCAATCCTGAGCACCTTCCCAAATTATACATGAGTTCTGGGGATTCAAACTCAGGTCACCAGGCTTTTGAGGCAAGTGCTTTACCCTAGGGCCATCTCCCAGACCCCACCTTCGTTTTTAGGATAAGATCTCTCTCTCACTGATACTAGAGCTCCTTGATTGGGATAAACTAGCTCTCCAGCAAGCCCCCTGTCTCCGCCTCCCAGCACTGTTCCTCCGGACCGGGCTTTTTTGGTAAATTCTGAGGATCTGAACTCAGGTCCTTGCGCTTGCTCAGCAAGCATCTTGCTGACTGAGCCATCTCCCCAGCCCTGCAGTCTAAAATCTTGAGTTACCTTTGGAGTGTAAAAAGATGCTTTATTTTAGAAATGTGAGTTCAGCTGGGAAGGTTGGGGAAGGGCACTCAAATTCCCCAGCTTGAATGTCCTAAACAGTAGAAGTGTTTAGGTATGGAAGTCTTGGCCCCGAGTGCCAAGAGGGGCGTCCAGGCAGACATGGGTGGAAGACTAAGAGTATGTATGGTGTTTGGGTCTCCCTCTGCCAGCTGCTTCATTTCAATTTAGGCCTTTCCTGGGCATGGTTCCCAGAAAGTCCCTCTGCAACTGCCCTGATCAGGTTTCTGGATCTGTTAATAATAGACAAGTGTGGGGGAAGGGCCAGCATCTTTGCCGACATAGGAATTACCAAAGTAGATGGACAGTTCCTGTGCCAAAGCCCCGTCTGCTACCTCTCTGGATCTATTCGAAGTCCTACGTTCTCTCCAAGAGCTACCATCCAAGAACTCTTTTTATTTATTTATTTTACATTTGTCCAGTGTGTGTGTGTGTGTGTGTGTGTGTGTGTGTGTGTGTGTATCTGAAGTCAACTTTAGAAGTTAATTCTCACCTACCACCATGTGGGTCTTGGATATCAAACCCAAGTGGTTAGTTAGGCTTGGCAGCAGCAAGTCACTTTCTCCACTGAGCCATCTCTCACCAAGCCCCTTCCCAAGCATTCTTGGGAGGTAACCTAATCTTGTGAAATCTCACATACTCACCCCCCAAATCAGAACATGGAGGCTGAGGAGTAGTGGTGTGTTGATGAGAACCCAGAAGCAGAATATTTGAAACCTGCTGTCTCCCAGAAAATCTAGATGTGATAGCACTCTCTTTCCTACGTCACCCAGGAGCTTGGATAACATTGAGTTGATGAGAAAGTGGCAAAAGGTATTTATATAGACCTGGGAGGAATTATGAGGAAGAGGGGGATTGTAAAGGAGAAGATTATAATGGCAGGCAAGTGGGATGGGCAAGCAGGACAAGAGTGTGACACTGAGATGGTACCTCTGCTAAGTCAAATGTCAACTCTGAAATCAGTGGTTTATATTTCGTTGGCGATACTCTTCCTACTCCCCAGGAACAGCTTTCCTTTTAATGTCTACCTTCCCTTTAGACTATGCTTTCTACTACCAAAGCCTGTTCTCAAACAAGGAGAGTGGTGCATGCCAGTCGTCCAAGCACTTGGGGGTGGAAGCAGGAGGTTCTGGAGTTCAAAGTCATCCCCAGCTACATATTAAGTTCAAGGACAGCCTTGACTACACTGCAATCAGTCCTATCTTTAAAAAAGAAAAGAAGAGAGAGAGAGAGAGAGAGAGAGAGAGAGAGAGAGAGAGAGAGAGAGAGAGAGAAAGAAAGAAAGAAAGAAAGAAAGAAAGAAAGAAAGAAAGAAAGAAAGAAAGAAAGAAAAGATCAGGCTGGTGGTGGTGCACACCTTTAATCCCAGCATTCAGGAGGCAGAGGCAGGTGGAAATCTGTGAGTTCAAGGCCAACCTGGTCTACAAAGTGAGTTCCAGAATAGCCAGGGCTACACAGAGAAACCCTGTCTCAAAAAAGAAAAAGAAAAGAAAAGAAGAAATGGCAACAAACAAGTCTTCCTGCTGTCAGTAAAATAAATAGATAGATAATAGTCAATTCATTATCTGGATAAATCAAGTAAAACTACTAAGGCTTCAGAAATTGCAAGCAGGCATAGTGATTCACATGTGCTTAGTCCTAGCTTTCATGAAGGGTGAGCTGAGAGGTGAGGGAGGCCTACTTGAGGCCACAAGTTCAAGGCCAGCCCGAGCAACATAAAGAGATTCCCATCTCACAAAAAAGAAATTAATTGCAGAAGTTTAAATCTCTTTCATTGTAAAATATAACAGAAGCAATAGAGAACTACAAAAAGAAAATATATGACAGTGAATTATTTTAAAATGAAGACCCTTGCTAGTAATACTCAAAACTAAAAATAGACCTTGCCCAGCTACGCACCCCTTCTACCACAACTCATCCTAAAGTAATCGACATCCTGGCTTTTGTAGTCATCGCTTCGAAGGATTTTATTTTAATGGAACTTAAAATTTAGCTATAAATAACCACTAATGGCAGACTATTAGGCAGTTGAGAGGTATTTGAGGGAAGTCTGAGAGGCAGCCAGAACCCCACACAATAAAAATCACGTCATCTCACAAAGCAAGTTCCCTTAGTGCCTGTGACTAAAAGACAGCGCTGGAAAAGAACCTCATAGGAGTTCCATATATGTGTCCTGTGCCCATAACTGCCCTAACTGTCACCCACTGGTTCAGAAAACCACATCTCACCGTCCTCCCAAGGCAAAGCAAAAGCTGCGGTGCTTGGCAATGTGCGAGGGCGGGGGTTGTCTTCAGCGTGTCAACACATAGTCTAGAAACTTCCAGGACCTGAGTTTCTATTTGTGAAGTAGGGGGACGTAATAACACCCTTTCCGGTTCCTTCTTCCTCACCTAATTTGGCTCCCTGTCCTCCATCTTGATTTCTTTTATTTTTTTTTTTTTAGGTTTTTCGAGGCAGGGTTTCTCTGTGTAGTTTTGCGCCTTCCTGGAACTCACTCTGTAGCCCAGGCTGGCCTCGAGCTCGCAGAGATCCGCCTGCCTCTGCCTCCCAAGCGCTGGGATTAAAGGCGTGCGCCACCACCGCCTGGCATCCATCTTGATTTCTGTGCTGGCTAGTTATTTATTTATCTTTGGAAGGAGCTTCCTCCTTTAGGAGTGGCCTTCCAGCTGCACTTGGCTGTTTTTTGTTTTATTTTGTTTGTTTTTAGCAACGTTGGAATTTATTAAGAGATGTTTTTAACATTGATTTTTAAGTACAAGACAGAAAGGTTTTCAGGAAGAAAGATACATAGGAACATGGATGTGGGCTTCCCTACAAGAGTCTCCTGATCTGAATGCCTTGCTTCATCTCGGTACCTTTGTTATGTGTGGCCGGGCCTGGTGGCACTCGCCTGTGATCCCGTCACTCAGGACAATGAGGCAGAGAGTTGTGAGTTCAAGGCAACCTGGGCTACACAACAAGACTCTAATCTCAAAAATAAATAAATATTCTGGCATTGAATAAATGATTACGAGAGGAAAGGAGGCCGCTGAGGTGGGGTCTGAGGATATAACTCAATCACAGTACACGTGAAAACCTGGGTTTCGTCCTTGTTACCACCTAAACTGGACATAGTGGTACATACCTGAATCTCAGCACTCAAGAGGTGAGGACAGAAGGAGCTGGAGCCCCAGGTCATCCCCAGCTACATATCAAGTTCAAGGTTAGTTTGGGCCATAAGAGACCCTGTCTCAAAAAAAAAACAAAAAAAAATAAATAAATAAAAACCCACACAAGCCGGGCGGTGGTGGCGCACGCCTTTAATCCCAGCACTCGGGAGGCAGAGCCAGGCAGATCTCTGTGAGTCGAGGCCAGCCTGGGCTACCAAGTGAGTTCCAGGAGAGGCGCAAAGCTACACAGAGAAACCCTGTCTCGAAAAACCAAAAAAAAAAAAAAAAAAAAAAAAACCCACACAAACGAAACAAATAACTATCCATCATACATATGAGCCGTTTAACAAGTGCGTAGATACTGTCCCCTCAGTCTCTGATCTTCCCTTCTCCCCATCTTGCTCTTTTCCTGTATTTTTACACACTTAGATTGATTGCCCTGCAAGGCAGGATGCAGAAACACAGGAGCAAGCTGGTGGAAAGAGACACCCTGGCAAGCAGCCAGCCTAAATGAGGGCAAAAACAGTGGTATTCCACACAGACACTGACCAGAATGAAAAGCAGTGATTCACAAAGCTGCAATACACAGGCCTTGGGTTTCACTTTGAGAGCAATTGCAGGATTGGGGTCAGTAAGGGGTAAGGGTAGGGAGGCATCAAGATAAAAGGCAGCCAGGCTCCTTCTCCCTGGAGATGTGTTGCCTGTCAACCTCAATCCGTTCCCTTAATCCTTTCCTGCCACCCCACCCCCACAACTCCTCATGATGACCAGTGTCCTGGGCCTTTAAGAGGTAGCTAGGCTGGACTGAGGAGAGCGCTCACACCTCTCCCCACCCTGCTCCTTCTCCCTGGCTGTAACTCTGCCAGCTGCAGCAGTAAACTGCAGTCGTGGTGGAAGACGGTGGAAGCAGTCAAGTGCAAAGGAGAAAAAGGAGCCAGGCTGAGTCTTCTCGGTGGAGAGCTTTGCAGAGCTCCGGAGGCGTCGCTCACAGACGGGATTCCTACCTTACCCACGGTAAGGGTCCTGGAGCTCTAACCAACCTCTACCCAAGCCTGCCTGAGTCCTAACTCAACCCTACAGATGGGTACCTGTCCTGAATAGGTTAAACTAGGCTCCTTTTTCCACCCTGCGGCTCCACTGGACTCCCTCCCTCCTCCTGGTTCTCTTCAGTTTATCCTCTGACTCAGTTTTGTTTATTTGTTTGTTTGTTTTGGTTTTTCGAGACAGGGTTTCTCTGAGCAGCCCTGGCTGTCCTAGAACTTGTTCTGTAGAGCAGGCTGGCCTCGAACTCAGAGATCCGCCTCCCTCTGTCTCCCGAGTGCTGGGGTTAAAGGCTTGTGCTGCCACCACTGCCAGGCTTAACCACCTTTCTTTCTGGCTGTGTCAATCACCCTTTTATAGAGAAAACTCTTAGCTGTCCAGGACCATGAGTGCTGGCTGGCCCTAGCCCCTTCTCAGAGGTGAAACCACCCTAATAGGAGAAGAGGTAGAATTAGAGCAGATACTCATCGATGAAGATGCATTAATGGACTGTTGAGGGTTAACAAATGACAGTTGTTCAAAACCCATGCGGTATCGGAACTCCTTAGAGAGATCATCTGAAGACATTCTTGGAAAGAATCAGGGTTTGAGTTTTGTTCCTTGCCTGCTTAATAAGCCAGGGCAAGGTGTTGGTATGCCAGCATGCTGTGTGCCATGGGATTTTAGACCGCTGACAGCCTCTTCATCTGTAATAGGGGAATTTAGGGCTTCCCAGACTTGCCTTTGTACCAGGAGTGCTTGTTAGGATGCCCACAAATATTCTCATCCTTCATCTTTAGAAATTTTGATCTGGCAAATTCTATGACACTCTTCTGGAGATATTGATCTAGGCTCAAGTCTGTAGAACCCCATCTGTAGGTGATATAAGCCACCTGGAGGTAGAGGACCAAACCTTGCTTGCTCTGTAATACCGGGCCACTAGTCCTAGGAAAGTTTGTGTCTATATTACAGAGGTTATTATCGAATCCTCAAAGATTCCAAACAGATGTATATGTGTTAATCTCTCTCTCCCTCTTTTTCTCTGAACCCTCAAACTTCTTACATCGTCAAGGATGACCTTGAACACCTGATCCTCCTGCTTCTCCCTCCCAAGTGCTAAGATTCCCCTTGTGCCTGGCTGACCCAGTCTCTCTTACTTTGAGATTTACTCCTCTGTGTACACTCTTGCCAGTGCCCCTCTCCCAGACCCTTTGTTTCTTCTCCCCCCACTGCACCTGCATCCGTCGTAACCAGCCTTCCTTTCGGACACCAGCAGAAACACCGAGCCCTAGAACATGTAGGTTCTAACACATTCTTTGGGCACTTTGTTTCGTCAGTCTCCTAGGATACAGGGAAAAGTGAGGCTGAGAGGAGGGGCATGTTCCCGAGCGTTCAAACCAAAGTGCCCTCTCTCCTGGACTATAGCCTCAAAATCCACAAAGGGGCTGAGACTCAGAGCTACTGGGGATTAGTGGAGATAAGGGAGGGGAATGGCAGGAAAAGGTGATGGGGAAAAAGGATGAGGAGAAGGATAAGAAGAGATCATAAAAAGCATGACGAGTGAACAGAGAGGATTGTGAGAGAGAAAAGAGTGAGCTAGGAAGAAAGGAAATGAAAGAGGATAGGCATGGGATGGGGAGGGCAAGACAATGGGAAGAAAAGAAACTTGTTTGGTGGGATATAGGGGGCTCAGAAGATGATGGAGAGGAGAGAGAGAGCATCAGTGTCCCTCACTGATTCCTGGCCTTCCTTCAACCTGCCTGCTGGAGGAGGCCCTTTCTAAGGGAAGAGCTGGTGAGCTCAGCCCCGGTTGTAGATAGACCTGCGTTCTATTGCAGTCCTGTCACTAAATGACTCTGGCAGGACAGCCGGGCTTCCTGCTCCTCAGTCTCCTCCGTGAAGCTCAGTTCTCGCATGCTGTGGCTTCCTGGGGTGCTGCTGGCATTCTCTTGGCCATACATCACATAGCTACAAGTTAAAACCATTGCTCTGGAATGGGGACAGGTCAGATGGGGGGCGGGGAGGGCGGGATGGCAAAGTGGTTTTCCAAGGCCGGTTTGGGAAATTGTTCTGGCTCCTGGGCTCTGTTCTCAGTCTTCCCATGTTCCAGGACATGTAAGGCTCCTGGACACAGGAACAGAGAAGGTAATTCTGTCTTCTTCCGAGCCCAAGTCCCACTACAGAGTCCTGTGCCCACAAGGTGGAAGCTGAAATTTAGAGGGGACTGAAGGCGAGATTTCGGCCTGGGATAGACTTCAAGCTCAGGTCACCCTCACCCTACTGTGCTCTGAGCACCTATGGAATTTCAGAGTGACACATTACTGTCTCCTCCAGTCTTCATACAGCAGTTTGAAGCTGTGTGACGATTCCAAACAGTGCATCCACACCTAGGAAAGGAGGTGCTTTCTGCCTCTGAAGGCACACGTTCAGTCCCTCCTTCCATTTAGAGGGCTCTTCTTGTCTCAGCCAGGAGCACATACTCAGCCTCGGCCAATAAAACTTTCTTCCTGAACCTGCCACAGCTGTTTCTCCCCCAAAAGACTGTTCCCCCTCTTTCGCCCCTCACTCCTCTACCCCTTTAGAGAGCCCTCTCATGGTCTTTAAGTCAGGGAAGTCATATTTTCAGTGACTCTTACACTCTCCTTTGAGTCACTTACAGCCGGGTGTGGTGGCGCACGTCTTTAATCCCAGCACTCGGGAGGCAGAGGCAGGCGGACCTCTGTGAGTTCGAGGCCAGCCTGGTCTACAGAGTGAATTCTGGAATAGCTAGGGCTACACAAGGAAACGCTTGTCTTGAAAAACAACAACAAAAACAACAACAAAATGTTGAATGTGATGCTGGCTGTAGTGGCTCACATCTGTGATCCTAGCACTCCGTAGGTGGGAACAAGAGCATCAGGAGTTCAAGGCCAGTCTTAGCTACATGAGACTCTGCTCAAAGAAAGAAAGAAAAAAGATTCTGCCCCAGCTCTTTAGGAATTGGACAAAGTGTACATGACAGTCTAGACAGGGCTCCAGGAAGAAAAAGGCTGGAATGATCCTATCTGGAGAAGAGACAGCTAGGGTGTAGACAGAGTCTAGGCTCTGATAAGTGTTGGCTGCAAGATGGTAGACCCTAATAATGAGAACATGGGGAATGAGCAAGGTGTGGAGCAGTGTTACCTCCTGAGTGTAGGTAGCAAGAGAGTGTTTGGAACATGCCTTGCTATAGCCGTCCCTGGAGAGAGCCATGGAAACTAGCTAACAAAGATAGATCTATGTATCTTAGTTTAAATTCTAATCTGTGCATGAATTGAGACAGTTAAGGCTCAGAGTCAGCAAACTCAGAAGTGCCCAAAGCTGCAGACTAGATGAAGTACCTGATGCATGCCACTCAGGAAACCCTACGTTTCCTTCTCTTGTTCCCTTAAACTCACCCAAAGCCCTCTGCTCCCCCTCGTTCCTTTAGGGGACTCTGGCACCAGCTGGTGGAGCAGTGGGTGATGGCATCTCAGATTCAAGACCGTGAGTACCCCTGCAGGGGAAGAGGTCTGGGGAGAAAGCCCGGGGAGTAAAGGAGGTTAGACCCTGGTTACGGAGCTCCTCTGGGCCCTCCAGCCTCCCCACAACAAGTCCCTGCTCTTCCTGGCTCAGGACTGACCACTGATCAGGACCTGCTGCTGATGCAAGAAGGCACCACGATGCGCAAGGTGAGGACCAAAACCTGGAAGAAGCTAAGGTTCTTCAGACTTCAGAATGACGGCATGACAGTCTGGCATGCACGGCAGGCCGACGGCATAGCCAAGCCCACTTGTGAGTGACCGTGATAGCTATGGGTGGGTATATGGGCGGACAGGTCTCTGAGGGATCCAGAAGTTGGAGGGCAGGGGAGGGACCAGGATCCTGTAAGAGTGGTCTCTTGTGCAGGCCCACTTATGTGGCTCTATACAAGACGACAAGCCAGCCTTTGCCTTTGAAGGACTGTAATGAGGATTAATTTAGTCATTACACATAGGAAGTTTAGAAAAGCCTTGGCACAGGATGAGTCTCCATAAATAAGAGGTTATTTATTATGGTCACTATGACTGTGATCTGTCCGGATTAAAACTGGCTCTGCCACTTTCTGGGTGAGTAGCTTTGGACAAACTACTTAACTGAACTGAGGTTTCTCATCTGCAAAATGGGGTTAACCTGCACCTACCTGTAAATTGTAGAGACTGGTGAGTTATGTGTGAAACACCTAGCATGAGATCTGAAACCTGGACAGATTTCCCAAATGTTAGACATTACAATACTTCAGAGCATAAAAAGCATCCCCAATAATGTTCATCCTGTTGGTCAAGCTCTTTACAATACATTTAAACACTTGACCACAGAATAGACAGAGTCTGCTTTAGAGACATAAGCCATACTCATGAACCACACTACCCCGAGCTAAGGTAGGGAATGGGAGAATTTCTCTGGCTCTCTTCTCTGTAACTTGAAAGCAGAGACCGGCAAGCCTGAAACACAGGCATACACTATACTCTTTTGGTGTATCTATTCTACAGATGCACTTGTCATCCCCACTAGTTCTCCTGTGAGAACCACTGGGACCTTCCATGAACGGGGACCATCCACTCCTTAAGATGTGGACACTGAGGGGTTAAGCTTGGGTCTCCACACTGCCAGCTGGTGACTGGGAGTCAGGTCTTGCCAGGTCTAGCAGAACCTCCTTGCTATGCGGGCTCCTGTGAACTCCTGAACCACTGAGACTCCATCACCCTGCCCAGTGTCCTGTGGGATCCAGCCTGCAGAAGCTCAGGTTCCTTCTCTCTGTGTCTTCCTGGAGACAGGAGTTCTGGCCACCGTCCCCTGTCCTCGGCGCTCTCACCTGTCTCTTGTCTGGCAGTTTCCATCTCTGATGTGGAGACAATCCGGAAGGGCCATGATTCTGAGCTGCTGCGCTATCTGGTAGAAGAGTTCCCCCTGGAGCAAGGCTTCACCATTGTCTTCCACGGTCGCCGCCCTAACCTGGACCTAGTGGCCAACAGTGTTGAAGAGGCCCAGATGTGGATGCGAGGGCTCCAGCTGTTGGTGGATCTTGTGGCCAGCATGAACTACCAGGAGCAACTGGACCAGTATCAACCAGATGGAGTTAGGGTGTGGATGGGTTACTGAAGGGGCCGGATGCTACAGAACCAGGGAAGGTGGGGAGCGTGCAGAAATAGAAAAGCCAAATGATCCAGGTGGTGTGGAGAGACACGGAGGCCAGAACAGAGCTGAGGAGTCTGAAGGAGAAATGGAGGTTTGCCAGTTAGAGTCTGGGAATGAGAATCGGAACCCAGGCTTGGAGGAGGGGCCAGAGAGAGGAGGAAGAAGAGCAAGCGAGGTGCTGCTCCTGTGAACCAAACAGGCATCCCAGTAGCGTTCACTTCCCAGGTGTGGGAAGCAGCTCCTAGAGGGCGCAGTGGCGTAGACTCACTTAACGATTCCTAGACTGGAGTCAGCGAGGTGATCCCACCAGGAAAGGTGCTTGCCACCAAACGCTGACAACCTGAATCCAATCCCTGGAGCACACGTGGTGGGAGAACTGACTCCCCCCAACACACAGTAGCTTGCAGACCCTCCAGTAAGTGTAAAAGAAGTTCCTAGATTGTACATTACTCCGTGCATGTTCACATTCATTCAGCACCGATCAGCCAGACTCTCCACCATTATGCCTAGCTTTAGGGACATCAAGATTAACGAGGCCACATATAATACTTTACTTAGTGGAGAGAACCAATTTGTGTAAATAATTTAAGTGCCAAATTAGAGGAATATTTGATTCTACCTAAGAGTGTTTTGATGCTGGGCGGTGGTGGCGCACGCCTTTAATCGCTGCACTCAGGAGGCAGAGCCAGGCAGATCTCTGTGAGTTCGAGGCCAGCCTGGTCTACAGAGCGAGATTCGGGACAGGCACCAAAACTACACAGAGTCTTGAAAAACAAAGACAAAAACAAACAAAAAAAAATTGAGTGTTCTGAGAAAGTGCCAGAGAAGAAATAGCATGTGAGTTGGGTCCTTAAATTTTGGACTAGAGTAGGTTGGGCAGTGGTGGTGCACACCTTTAATCCCAGTACTTGGGAGGCAAAGGCAGGCAGATCTCAGTGAGTTCGAGGTCAGCCTGGTCTACAAAGTGAGTTCCAGGACAACCAGGACTGTTACACAGAGAAACCCTGCCCCCCCCCCCCCCCCCCCCCCCCCCCCCCCGCCCCAACTTTTTTTTTTTGGACTGGAAATGTTGCTCTGTTCTTAGGATGCTTGCCTAGCATGCAAGAAGCCCTGGGTTCGATCCCAACACTGCATAAACCGGGCATGGCAATGCATGCCTGTAATCCCAGTACCCAAGAGGCAGAAGCTGGAGGATCAGAAGGTCAAAGTCATCCTTGGCTACATGGCAAGTTTGAGGCTAGCCTTGACTACATGTAACCTTATCAAAGAAAGAAAGAAAAGTAGTATAAATTGACCCGAAGAAAGAGGATGGCAAAGGCACTCCTGTCTGGGAGGATAGCATGATTAAGGTCTGGGGAGAGGAGACTTACGGCAGCAGGTCGGGGATGGTGGTCAGAGGGGCTGCTGAGACGGGCGGAGGTGCAAAGACAGACACATTGAGAAGGCTGGGCCGGGCCTGGTGGTCTGGCAGGAGAAGGGCATCTTAACGACTGTGTCAGAATTTAGGTTGCCTTCTGTAGACAGTGGGGAGGTGGCTCCCTTCAGGCACCTGAGCCATACAATGACAAGGAAGGTTTATGTTCAGGAGAGAATATTCTAGAAGCTATGTAGAGGATGGGTTGGCTCGGGAGAGAGACCGGCAACAGAGACAGGAGCGGTGTCAGTGGATGAGCACACGCCACTGCACACACACGGTGCTTTTGCCTTGACTCCGAGCTGGATGGGTGAGGGAATGGTTCCAACGAGGAGACAGAAACCAGGACGGCAGGATGAGTTTCCAAGAAGCGCGACGGCTGCTGCTTCTGATGAATGTGGAAATGGATCAGGAATATGCCCTCAGTCTTTTTCAGGTAGGTTCGCCGGGGAGGGTTTGCAGGGGCCAGCCAGACCATGTCTTCACTCGGCCGGAAGGCCTCTGACCCCACTCGGCAGCATCCATTTGTTGAATCCTTACTGTGTACTCCAGTACCACTCCAGTGGGGCTGGTGTAGGGAATGATTCTGGCCCCTCAGTCTTGTTGGGAGGATGACTCATAATCCCTACAAAAAGAAAATAACAACATGTTATTATATTGGAGCCGAGCGGTGACACACGCCTTTAGTCCCAGCACTTGGGAGGCAGAGGCCAGCCTGGACCACATAGTGAGTTCCAGGACAGCCAGGGCTACACAGAGAGACCCTGTCTCAAAAAACAAAATAAAACAAAAGACCTAATATGTCATTATGTTGGACCTGTTCACAGCCAGAGTGTCATAGGTGCCCACTACAAAATTCCATCTGCAATGTGACTAAAGAGAAGGGGGCAGATTCTGGCTAGTTGGTTGTTTGTTTTGAGCTGGGATCAAACGTAGCCCAAACTGACCTCAAACTCACTATGTAGCTGAGGATGACCTTGAACTCCTGACCCTAAATTGGGATTAAAGGCATGTACTATTGCTTCCATTTCCCTTCTAATCATTTACAGACTTCTGAGAGATATAATCTTTTGTGTTAAAAAATTTCCCTCTAGCAAGTGATAGGGCTAAAACTTTGCCTTTTATTTCCTGGAGTGACTTCTATGCCTATGAAATGTCAGGAGTTCTGTGAGAGTTTTATACACATGTGCTAAGATGCCCCTTACAGGGCCTGGGAGGATGACTGTTAGTAAAGTACTTGCCAAGTAAGAACAGGACTCAAGTTCTACCCTGGCATCTGTGTAAAAGGTGTGTGTGTGTGTGCGTGCGTGTGTGTGTGTGTGTGTGTGTGTGTGTGTGTGTGTGTGTGTGTGTGTGTGTGTGTTTCAGGGGGTACCCCCAGTGCTAGGGGGGAGAGAGAGAGATTCCTGAAGCTTGATGGCCATACAACCCTACAGGACAAAAGATCATACCCTTTCTCACTGTTCGTCCATTCCCTGCTAACTCTTCTCTTGCAGGAAGCAGATGTGTCCCATTCTGATACTCTGGAAGGAGAAGAATTTGTACAGTTCTATAAGGCACTGATTAAGCGTACTGAGGTTGAGCAACTATTCGAGCACTTTTCGTCAGATGGACAGAAGCTGACCCTTCTGGAGTTTGTGGATTTCCTTAGAGAGGAACAGAAAGAAAAAGACAACGCCCCCGACCTTGCTCTGGAATTCATTGACCGCTATGAGCCTTCAGAGAGTGGTAAGGACAACTGGGTGTAATAGATGCTAGACATAGGGGATGGGGAGGGGCTGAAAAAACAAAGACCCAGAGACAAGAGTCTTCTCCTAATGTAGGGAGGGCTGAGTCCTCCTCTCCCCTGGCCTCCTTTCCAATCATCTCACTGAACCATGTCAGTGGTCAGATAAGACAGAAATAGATTTTCATCTCTTAGGAGGAGGAGAGTCGGAGGTCCCTTTCCTTCCCTGTGCTCACATTTCACATCCTTTACCTTCGGGAACTCCTTGGCCATACCAACTTTGTCCTCGTGGAAAAAGAAAACGCTCGCTCTCTCACGCTTGCCTCCTCCCATGATGATTCCTCTGCTCCAAGTTCCACGGTCACTGTTCGTTTCAATGGTGGTTAGATTCCTGGTCATTCCTGGACATTCTCTAAGGTCATCTGAGTCCAGTCAGCATAGGCCTGAGGCAGTGATGAGGCCATGTGTCTGGCATTTGACAAGTACAGCTAAAATATGCCTTCTTTATTATTAAACTCTCCTCTACTTTGCCCTTTAATGGACTCACTTCCACCCCTCCGTCCCCTTTCAGAGTGTGAGAAGTTTATATCAATAGTAAATTATTTACAAAGCACGTCCACATTCTTAATTTAGTCCTCACTGCAACTTTGTAAAATGGAAAATAATCAATCCATTGGGATTTCACTGAGTAACATTCCCACACTGTGCTAACATCTCTACACTCTTTTCTTGTCTTAGCCTTCCTGATAAAATGGGCTCTATTATTAAGTCCGTTTTAGAAATAGGAAAACAGGGGTTTTCAAATCTTCAAATATCAAATGGGGAGCTGGAGAGATAGCCCAAGAGGTAAGTGTGCTTACTGTGCAAGCGACCTGAGTTCAGATCCCAGCCCCCATGTAAAAGGCCAGACATGGTTAGAGGTGTGCCTGCGCCCTCAGTGCTGTGGATGGAGGCCAGAGATGGGGATTATTACCTGGGTTTGCTAGCTGTCAGCCTAGTTTCAGGTTCAGTGAGAGACCCTATCTCAATGGTAGAGGGGCACTAGACTTCCTTCTCTGGCTTCTACACACACACTTATGCACACTATACACTTACACCACACTCATACACAAACACAATAAAATAAAAATAAGAGAGATTAAACAACTTTCTGGAAGCCAGGAGCGAATGAGAATGGAACTGGAATCCAAACCCAGATCATTCCTCAAGTAGTATCTCTCATGAAATAAAGTAGAATGATTGGGATGGACAAGTGATCCAGATTTGCTGGGCCTCAACTTTCACCCCCATTCATTCATTCATTCATTCACTCCTTCAGCAAGTTCCTTTTTTGTTTGTTTTTTGAGACAGGGTTTTTCTGTATAGCCCCGGCTGTCCTGGGACTTGCTCTGTAGACCAGGCTGGCCTTGAACTCAGAGATCCGCCTGCCTCTGCTTCCCTGAGTACTGGGATTAAAAGCATGTGCCATCACCACCCGGAAAGGAATTCTTTTTTTTTTTTTTTTTGGAGCAGAAGGTCGAACCCAGGGCCTTGCACTTGCTGTGCAAGCGCTCTACCACTGAGCTACATCCCCAACCCCCGGAGAGGAATTCTTATTGAGTATAATGTGTCAGGACCTACGCCAAGCACCACAGAGACAATGAAATAAGATCTCAAGCTGAGTGTGAAGGCACATGTCTTTTTTAATCTCAGCACTTGGGAGGCACTGGCAGGCAGATCTCTGAGTTCAAAGCCAGTCTGATCAACAGAGTACGTTCCAGGACAGCCAGGGTTACAAAGTGAAACCCTGTCTCGAAAAAACAAAACAAAAACAAGCATGTACAGCCATGCTAGTCAGAAAACAATAGTAAAGAAGTCTGAAGAAAAAAAATGGGATCCTCTGTTCCAGAGCAGGATCAAATCCATCAATCCCGTCTGTCATGGCTTGGATGTGCCCCCTAATGTACACACGTTAGGAACTGAACCCCAGTGCATCGTGTTGAGAAGTGAGGCCTTCACCTGAAACCTCCTACCCAAATTCCTGCCATTCTTCACTCTATGATGCATCACACCTAGATCTAGGAAGCTGGTCATGAGCATCACCTTGTCCTACCTTCCAAACCAAGCCTCTCTGCAGCTAAATCACCCTCAGTGAGACTTCCCAGCCCAGCAGTGCAAGGCATGGCCCTGACATCTGACTGCTTGGGTTCAAATCCCAGCTCCTTCACGTAAAATAGCCGTGTGACTTAGGGCAAGCTATCTAAGCTTGTCACAGGAGCTGTATTACAATACTGACCTCACTGTGTTAGTGAGCTGCAGGACATAATGTCCTTGTATGGAGTAAGTGCCCAATAGCTGCTAGTCACTGTTGTTACTGTGTGAAGTCCATCCTGAGAACAGTGAGGGCCGTAAAAGGGATCAAAGGGCCGTTTCCTCAGCAAGAGTCTAAGGAGATACTGACAAATGTCCCCCCCAAACACCACATGTCATAGCATAGGTCATCTAGCTGCACAGCCCAGAGAAGAAATCACAGGCACTTTGGCCAGGTTACTAATAACTTTTTTAGCTATATCCTTAGGCCTCAGATCTGGATTCTGTGCTGTCTTTTATAATAACTGTGAGCTCCAAGAACTATGTACATTTAAAGGGACCCAAATCAACTAAAATTACAAAATGACTTCCTCAGGCACACAAGCCCTATTTCAAGGTTCATAGATACATGTATCTAGGGGCTGCTGTATCCTACAATGCAGAATAGAGCATTCTCATGGTTGTGTACCATTCTGTTGGATAACACTGGACTAGAATGTTCGGTCTGTTAGTTTTTTAAGATAGGACCTCATGATGTGGCCAAAGCTAGCATTGAACCCAAAGTCAAGATCCCATGACCTCCGCCTCCTGCCAAAATGATTTTTTTAAATTTATTTATATTTTTTTATGTGCATTGGTATTTTGTCTATGTTCATGTCTGTGTGAGGGTGTTGGGTCCCCTGGAACTGGGGTTACAGACAGTTGGAAGCTGCCTTGTGGGTGCTGGGAATTGAACCCGGGTCCTCTGGAAGTGCAGCCAGTGCTCTTAACCACTGAGCCATCTCTCCAGCCCCTGATTTTTTTTACTAATAGAAATAGAGATAATTTCTTTTAAAAAGATAAGCACTCAGAAGAATTAAGATGGGAACTGGCAATGTGACTCAGTGGGCAAGGTGCTTGCTGCCAAGCCTGATGACCTGAGTTTGAGCCTGTGGACCCAACATGGTGGAAGAAGAGAACCGATTCTTGCCAGTTGTCCCCTGACCTTCACAAATGTGCCATAACACATGCACCCCCTGCACACAATACACATATACAAAGTAAATAACAAATATAAAGAGAGAGAGAGAGGAGAGAGAGAGAGAGAGAGAGAGAGAGAGAGAGAGAGAGAGAGAGAGAGAGGAGAGAGAGCATGAGAGCATGCAAGTGAGGACAAGAGAGCATATACCAGGAATTGTGGCACATTCATTTAATCCAAGCACATAGGATGCAGAAGAACCTCTGTGTGATTGGTTTTTGTTTTGTTTTGTTTCCAAGACAGTATGTAACTCTTGACTATCCTGAAACTCACTATGTAGACCAGGCTAGCCTAAAACTCGGAGATCCTCCTGCCTCTGTCTCCTAAGTGCTGAAATTAAATCCAGGTGTGCCATCACCCCTGGATCTCTGTGCGTTTGAGGCAAGCCTAGACCACATAGAGAGTTCCAGGCCAGCTAGGGCTACATAGTGAGATCGTGTTTTTACAAAAAGAAGGAAAGAAAGAAAGAAAGGAAGGAAGGAAGGAAGGAAGGAAGGAAGGAAGGAAGGAAGGAAGGAAGAAAAAGAAAGAAAGAAGGAAGGAAGGAAAGAAAAAAGAAAGAGAGAGAGAAAGGAAAAAGGGCTAGATAGCTGGGAAAGGTCTGTTCTCAATGGCAAGTTCAACACGTGGCAAACTGGGGACCTGCAGACTGGATAGGCGTCTACGGGGAGAGGACTAGAGAAGAGGCTTATGGGTGTGCCGGGTCTCTCACTCAGAGCTTCTCACTTTTGTGGTCCCCACTCCGCACTCCAGGCAGATTGCTGCATGTGCTGAGCAAGGATGGCTTCCTCAGCTACCTCTGCTCGAAGGATGGAAACATCTTCAACCAAAACTGCCTCCCTGTCTACCAGGATATGACTCAGCCTCTGAATCATTACTACATCAACTCCTCTCATAACACCTACCTGCTGAGGGACCAGCTCTGCGGCCAGAGCAGCGTGGAGGGATACATACGGTACAGTGATGGTTTGAGGGGGGCCAGCTCCTGAGATGGACTATCTGTGGGAAACCAAGGGGCAGATAACAGGGACTGAAACATAGAGAGCTTAGGGACCTCAGATTCCTGGGTACCTGAGAGACTTGGAGAACATCTTAGCTATTAGCAGAATGGTAATGAAACCCTACAGATAAACAGAATTCTTCTCTGTCACAAGCTAGGAAATGCTGAGAATTCAGGGGTCCTCATGTTTATTTTGAGCTAGTACATGGAATGCTTTAAAGCAGTGGCTCTCAACCTTCCTAATGCTGACACTTTAATACAGTTTCTCATGTTGGGGTGACCCCCATCCATAACATTATTTTCGTTGCTACTTTATAACTGTAATTTTGCTACTGCTATGAATAGTAGTATAAAAATTTTTGGAGATAGAGGTTTGCCAAAGGGGTCAAGGCCCACAAGTTGAGAACCACTGCTTTAAATGAAAGGCAATGGGATGTAGAGTTAAAAAAAATAAACAAACAAAAAACATAGGCTCCAGAGTCAGTCCACTTTGGGTGGAATTCTAGTTCTCTTGGTGTTGTGGGTTTCTCTCTGTAAAATAGAGATAATCACACTGCCCGTTCTGTCAGGTTCTTGTGAAGACTAAAGGGCACACGCTCTGAGTCAGTAGCTGAGAAGTGGTGGTTGCCTTTGTCGTGATTGATCAAGACAAGATTGAATAGTCAGGATAGCATTGTAGCATTGGCAAATGACCGACAGGGTAGCCTGAAGGAAACAAGGAATTTTAGCTCAGTGGTAAAGCATATGTATGAGTTGAATCCTATTGGAGAGAGAGGCACATGCCTGCAATTCCAGCATAAACAAAAGTTCTAAGTTCCAGGCTGTCTGACAAAAGACCCTGTTTCAAACATCAATGCGGGGTGGGGTGTGTGTGTGTGGGGTGTGTGTGTGTGTGTCTGTGTGTGTGTGTGTGTGTGTGTGTGTGTGTGTGTGTGTGTGTGTGTGTGTGTGTGTGTGATTTACCAGACATTCAATGACCCAGGTGCTATATTGGGATATACATCCAGAATAGTGGAAATATTGTGAGGCAATGTATGTCACGGCTTGCTAGGGAGGATGATGAGCTGGGGCTAGGTGAAGATAGATGTGAGTTGCAGGCATGGCCCAGTGGACTGAGATGCCTCCATGGAGATGTTTTACTTGAAGTGGTCTGGATAGGCAAGTGCTGGCGAGCACTGTTCTTTCTAGAGCAGGGAGAGGTTATCTCCTCAGGTCGATCACACCTTGACCTCTCCTCCTGCCTCTGGGGGTTTGGGGTTCTTGCAGGGCCTTGAAGCGGGGGTGCCGCTGTGTGGAGGTGGATGTATGGGATGGACCTGGCGGGGAGCCCATTGTTTACCACGGACATACCCTGACCTCCCGTATCCTGTTCAAGGATGTTGTGGCGACACTAGCACAATACGCCTTCCAGGTAGTTGGCCCAGGTTGGGAACAGCACTAAAAAGGGCAAGAAGGTCTGAAGGAGACGAGACTGGCTGGTCTGCTGAGGGTGGAAGGCAGAGAGATAATGCAAGTGGTGTGATACAGACAAAAGAAGGTTTTATTGTTTTGTTTCGCTTTTTAAAATTATTTTATTTTTCAAGACAGTGTTTTACTGGGTAGCCCCGACTGTCCTGGAACTCACTCTGTAGACCAGGCTGGCCTCGAACTCATAGAGATCTGCTTCCCTCTGCCTCCAGAGGCTGGGATTAAAGGCGTGCGCCACCACTGCCCAGCCAATAAAAGAAGTTTTTTTTTTTTTAACTCTAAAGCACCAGACAAATATTAGAGGATTGTTATGATTAAGTGTTGGACATGTTACTAGTAATTAGTATTCATGCAGGTAACCACTAGTTCCTAGTAACTATTTCTAAAAATTTCTGTTACCTGTATGGGAGAGGTTGGGTAGGGGAACAGACAGAGGTGAGCTGGGCTGGGGACAATAGGAATCTAGATATGAGGGTGTCACCTGAGCTCATAACTAGGGGAATAGCCTGTCATCTACACTGAGACTGAAAACTCACAAGGCCTCAGAAGGACTTGGATCAGATTTGGTATTGATACAAGATTTGAGGTCTCAAGAGTGACCCTTAGACGTGGATATGTCCCAAGGAGTGGGCCTGAGACCTATCAAGTTCTCACAGAGCCTTATGATGGGGTTAGGGAAGTTTAGCAATCAGTACTCATTAGAGTTCATAAATGGGGCCTAGGAACACAGGATTTTAGAATTCTGAATGCGTCACCCTCTCCCCTCTGCCAGTCAACAGACTACCCACTCATCTTGTCTCTGGAGAATCACTGTACCTGGGAGCAGCAGCGGACCTTGGCACAACACCTGACTGAGATCTTGGGAGAGCAGCTGCTGAGCACCACCATAGACGGACTGCTGATGGATACGCTGCCCTCGCCAGAGGTAGGGACCCCATGGCCCAGCCAGGCCTTACTGTGGCTTTCACAATCCCTCACTATGGCTCCCTCTTCTACAGTCCTCTTGTCCTGTTCTGTCTTCAGAAGAACCATCTTGCTTTTTAATATACCTATAGATGATATAACTATAGATGATACCTATAATATACCTATAGATGATCATAAGTGGACTGTCATGGCACATGCCTGTAATACTGGTACTTGGAAAGTGGAGGCAGGAGGAACAGCGGTTCAAGGAAAGGTCATCCTCGGCTACATATCACAATTCTGAGACCAAAAAACCTTGTTTTGTTTTGTTTTGTTTTGTTTTGTTTTGAAACAAGACCTCGTGTAGCCAAAGCTGGCTTTGAGCTCCTAACCCTCCGTTCTTCAACTCCCAAGTACTGGGATTATAGGCGCGCACTACCGTGCCTGGTTTCTGTGATTCCAGGGATCAAGCCCAGGGCGTTGTGCATGCTAGGAAAACATTGTACTAAGCTCCATCCCTAGCCCTTAATAGTTCCTGATAGTTCATAATTCATACAGACTTTACAAGCAGTATAGAGAAAGGGGAATTCTCCCCCATCATAATCCCAAACACTTTCATAGCGGTATATGATGAATAGATTTTTAAAAATATTTCATTTATTCATTTGTTTGTTTTGAGCAGAAGGGGGTGGTGGTGCATGTGCCATGGCAAACACGAGTGTGGAGGCCAATAGGAGTTGGTTCTCTCCGTCTCCCAGGTAGGTCCTGGAGATCAAACTCACATTACCAGGCTTTCGGCAAGTGCCTCTCCTGGCTGAGCCATCTTGCTGGCCCCAGTGGATTTATTTTCACCATTCCCTGAACTTCACTCCTGCTAAGCACATGCTGTCCTACCAGCTACTTTCGGCTGCCACCACCACCACGTCCTCCTCTTCCTCCTCTTCCTCTTCCTCCTCCTCCTTGAGACAGGTTCTCGTGAAGCCCCGGCTGGTCTCAGAATTGTGATATGTAGCCGAGGATGACCTTTCCTTGAACCGCTGTTCCTCCTGCCTCCACTTCCCAAGTACCAGTATTACAGGCATGTGCCATGACAGTCCACTTATGATATGGTGGAGCTCAAACCCAGAGATTCGTACATGCTGAGGGAGCACTCTGCCACATTTTCAGCACCATCAATAGATTTTTAAGCTTAAACATATATATACATATTCATATTAGAAAAACTATGAGTGGGGTTACTGTCCATATTTTCTTATTTCATATCATAAGTATATTTTCATGAATATCTTTTCCTCTTTTTTTATTTGTTTGTTTGTTTGTTTTTGGTTTTTTGAGACAGGGTTTCTCTGTAGCTTTGGAGCCTGTCCTGGACTAGCTCTGTAGACCAGGCTGGCCTCGAACTCACAGAGATCCACCTGCCTCTGCCTCCTGAGTGCTGGGATTACAGGCGTGTGCCACCACCGCCTGGCTCTTTTTTGTTTTTTTGAGACAGGGTTTCTTAGCATAGCCTGGCTGTCCTGGACCTCGACTCCGTAGATCAGACTCGGCTCAAACTCAGAGATCTGCCTGATTCTGCCTCCCAAGTACTGGGATTAAAAGTGTGAGAGACTACCACTCAGTTTTTTCTGTCTCTCTCTCTTCTCTTTCTTTTTTTGAGACAGGGTCCCATGTAGCCCAGGCGGCCTTTGAACCCGTGATCCTCCTTGTTTCTACCTCCTGAGTGCTGGGATGATGACTGGTGTGTACCACCACACCAGGTTTAGGTAGTACCCACTAAATTACATCCCCAGCCACATACCTTTTCCTCTTTTCCTTTTTTTTTTTTTTTTTTTTTTTTTGAGACAGGGTTTCTCTGTGTAGCCTTGATGGTCCTGGAACCAATTGTGTAGACCAGGCTGGCCTCAAACTCAGAGACCTGCCTGCCTCCGCCTCTCGAGGGCTGGGATTAAAAGTGTGTGCCACCATTACCCAGCCGGTATAAGAACTTTTTTTTCTTTTCTTTTCCTCTTTTTTTTTTTTGGAGCTGAGGACCAAACCCAGGGCCTTGCGCTTGCTAGGCAAGCGCTCTACCACTGAGCTAAATCCCCAACCCCATCGTTTCCTCTTAATAGCTCTTCAGTGTGCTGTTTTATGCCAGTGCCGTGTAGGGCTCTAATTCATTCAGTTACACATTTAGGAGACAATTAGGTTGTTCATTTTCATCCTGTCCATGCACTTTGTCTATTTATTCTTTCTTTGAATTTCTGAGTTAAAGCATTTGTTTTCTGGGTACACTGGTGGTGGTATTGTGGTGGACACAACTGCCAGCCGAAGAGTTTACATTCTAGCCACAGGTGGTGATTCCCAAACGCAGGAGGTGGAAGCAGCAGGGTCAGGAGTTCAAGGCCAGTCTCTAGTACATTGTGAGCTGGGAATCAGCCTGTGCTACATGAGACCCTTTCTCAAAACACACACACACACACACACACACACACACACACACACACACACACACACACAGAGAGAGAGAGAGAGAGAGAGAGAGAGAGAGAGAGAGAGAGAGAGAGAGAGAGATTGCATTTTGACAATTTTGATTATTTTTGCTGAGTTGCTCTCCAGAAAAAAAATACCAAATAATACTCCGATCAACAGAACAGAATAACCGCAAGCAACTCCATAGTAAGATGATTCATAATGGCAAACACTGGAAAGAAGGGCTTGTTTTTGTTGTTGCTCTGAGGTTTTTTTTTTTCCCCTGAGACGGGCGTTTCTCTGTGTAGCTTTGCGCCTTTCCTCAAACTTGCTTTGGAGACCAGGTTGGCCTCGAACTCACAGTGATCCGCCTGCCTCTGCCTCCTGAGTGCTGGGATTAAAGGCATGTGCCACCACCGCCCGACGCTCTGAGTTTTTTGAGTGCTGGGATTACAGCATGCACTAGCATGCTTGACGCGTCTTAGCATCTAGTCCTGCCTGCCTCCTTTCAGAGTGCTGGAACTACAGGCTGGAGCCACCTACTCCCAGTTCATTTCCTTTCTAAAGGCTCTTCCATGATAAGACTTCAAAAAACATTCTCTCTCTTCATACTCCTATGTGCTTTATATATGCCAACCTTACACCGAAGGGAGTTTTCAGTGTGTAAAATGTGAGGACCTATTGATTGTTTTTCATATGGATAGAAACATTGTAAGTTTGTTTGAGAATAGGTGACTTGCTACCATATGTACTGAGGAATCAAAGCCTCTGGGAATCTCCTGGTGGTCCACTCTCTTCTGCCTTTGAGATGGTGAGACGTCTGCTATCTTCAGGAGGGGCTTGAGCAGACAAGTAGACAGGTCTCTTTATTTTTGTTCCCTAGCAGCTTCGAGGGAAGATCTTGGTGAAAGGAAGGAAGTTAAGAACAATTGAGGAGGTTGAGGTTGAGGAAGAAGAGGAAGAACTAGACAAAGATGACAGGTCAGAGCTGGATCCAGACCCCTACCCTGTGTTGGACACTGAGGTTCAGCCCGAGTCCCAGGAGCTGGCCTCTGGAAACAAGGACAGTAAGGTGAGTCAGGACTCGTTATTTTGTAATGACATTTGGCCAGCATGCATCACAAGGTGAGGGCCAGTTTCTGAAGAGTCTAGATCCAGACAGGAGAAAATGGTCTTTCCTCTCAATGAAAGAGGCCTAAGAGTGCATCTCCAGCATCACCATGCATTATCCCATCCACAGCATCACCATGCATTATCCCATCTCCAGCATCACCATGCATTATCCCATCTCCAGCATCACCATGCATTATCCCATCTCCAGCATCACCATGCATTATCCCATCTATAGCATCACCATGCATTATCCCATCCACAGCATCACCATGCATTATCCCATCCACAGCATCACCATGCATTATCCCATCCACAGCATCACCATGCATTATCCCATCCACAGCATCACCATGCATTATCCCATCCACAGCATCACCATGCATTATCCCATCCACAGCATCACCATGCATTATCCCATCTCCAGCATCACCATGCATTATCCCATCCACAGCATCACCATGCATTATCCCATCCACAGTATCACCATGCATTATCCCATCCCCAGCATCACCATGCATTATCCCATCTATAGCATCACCATGCATTATCCCATCCACAGCATCACCATGCATTATCCCATCTCCAGCATCACCATGCATTATCCCATCCACAGCATCACCATGCATTATCCCATCCACAGCATCACCATGCATTATCCCATCCACAGCCATCACCATGCATTATCCCATCCACAGCATCACCATGCATTATCCCATCCACAGCCATCACCATGCATTATCCCATCCACAGCATCACCATGCATTATCCCATCTCCAGCATCACCATGCATTATCCCATCCACAGCATCACCATGCATTATCCCATCTCCAGCATCACCATGCATTATCCCATCTCCAGCATCACCATGCATTATCCCATCTCCAGCATCACCATGCATTATCCCATCTCCAGCATCACCATGCATTATCCCATCCACAGCCATCACCATGCATTATCCCATCCACAGCATCACCATGCATTATCCCATCCACAGCATCACCATGCATTATCCCATCCACAGTATCACCATGCATTATCCCATCTATAGCATCACCATGCATTATTCCATCCACAGCATCACCATGCATTATCCCATCCACAGCATCACCATGCATTATCCCATCCACAGCATCACCATGCATTATCCCATCCACAGCATCACCATGCATTATCCCATCCACAGCATCACCATGCATTATCCCATCCACAGCATCACCATGCATTATCCCATCTCCAGCATCACCATGCATTATCCCATCCACAGTATCACCATGCATTATCCCATCTCCAGCATCACCATGCATTATCCCATCTCCAGCATCACCATGCATTATCCCATCTCCAGCATCACTATGCATTATCCCATCCACAGCATCACCATGCATTATCCCATCTCCAGCATCACCATGCATTATCCCATCCACAGCATCACCATGCATTATCCCATCTCCAGCATCACCATGCATTATCCCATCCACAGCATCACCATGCATTATCCCATCTATAGCATCACCATGCATTATCCCATCCACAGCATCACCATGCATTATCCCATCCACAGCATCACCATGCATTATCCCATCTCCAGCATCACTATGCATTATCCCATCTCCAGCATCACTATGCATTATCCCATCTCCAGCATCACCATGCATTATCCCATCTCCAGCATCACCATGCATTATCCCATCCACAGCATCACCATGCATTATCCCATCCACAGCATCACCATGCATTATCCCATCCACAGCATCACCATGCATTATCCCATCTCCAGCATCACTATGCATTATCCCATCTCCAGCATCACTATGCATTATCCCATCTCCAGCATCACCATGCATTATCCCATCTCCAGCATCACCATGCATTATCCCATCCACAGCATCACCATGCATTATCCCATCTCCAGCATCACTATGCATTATCCCATCTCCAGCATCACCATGCATTATCCCATCTCCAGCATCACCATGCATTATCCCATCCACAGCATCACCATGCATTATCCCATCCACAGCATCACCATGCATTATCCCATCTCCAGCATCACTATGCATTATCCCATCCCCAGCATCACCATGCATTATCCCATCCACAGCATCACCATGCATTATCCCATCTCCAGCATCACCATGCATTATCCCATCTATAGCATCACCATGCATTATCCCATCCACAGCATCACCATGCATTATCCCATCCACAGCATCACCATGCATTATCCCATCCACAGTATCACCATGCATTATCCCATCTATAGCATCACCATGCATTATCCCATCCACAGCATCACCATGCATTATCCCATCCACAGCATCACCATGCATTATCCCATCCACAGCATCACCATGCATTATCCCATCTCCAGCATCACCATGCATTATCCCATCCACAGCATCACCATGCATTATCCCATCCACAGCATCACCATGCATTATCCCATCCACAGTATCACCATGCATTATCCCATCCACAGCATCACCATGCATTATCCCATCCACAGCATCACCATGCATTATCCCATCCACAGCATCACCATGCATTATCCCATCCACAGCATCACCATGCATTATCCCATCTCCAGCATCACCATGCATTATCCCATCCACAGCATCACCATGCATTATCCCATCCACAGCATCACCATGCATTATCCCATCCACAGTATCACCATGCATTATCCCATCCACAGCATCACCATGCATTATCCCATCTCCAGCATCACCATGCATTATCCCATCCACAGCATCACCATGCATTATCCCATCCACAGCATCACCATGCATTACACATGGCCATCGACACATCTATTGCAATGGGTTTCCACCTTCTTGGATCATGAAATCTTGGACAAAGCTTCTTATTCAGAATGGATAAATATCGAACCATTCTAGTTGAAGCCCTCACCTGACTCTTTCCTGGGTCTAAGTGACATGGGGTGGGTGGTTCAGGCCTGATGGGTATGTAGTAAGTTCCAGAAGGAAGACAAGGAAGGCAGGAGACGAAGGAGCTAAGTGACTCTGGACACAACTTTGTCCTTCACAAAGTCCTTAAAGGCAAATCTGAAGGCTGCTGGTGTCTCCCTCTGTCTCTGTCTCTCTGTCTCTCTCTGTCTGTCTCTGTCTGTCTGTCTGTCTCTCTCTGTAGCTATGTTATTGGCTGAATAAGAAGTTACTGGACCACTGATAGCTGTGACCTCAGTCTCAGCTATAATGGGATAAGTTAGAGAAAGCGTTTTGGAAAGGATGCAGTTTGAGGAGGAGCCAGAAGTATCCAGATACAGGGAGGCCAAGTGAGAAAATGTACCATTGGTGGGACCACAGAGATCCAGGTGTGAAGACTGCATTTCTGTCTCTTGGGCGCTTACATGGCTTACTCAGCTGATTTATTATTATCCTGTGCTGAAGCCATGGTGTTTAAACCTGTTGTCATTTTTAGGGATGGAAATCAGGAGATAAATCCAAAGAAAATGCTCTGGGGTCCTCACATCCTTACAGGTGTGGACTTGGGGACCACCTGCATACTTTGACATAATCTGACTGCGTTCATGTACTTTGTGTTTGGTTGTTTTTTGAGACAGTCTTGACATGTATCCCTAGGTGACCTGAAACTCATTATCTAGACCAAGCTAGGCTCCAACTCATAGAGATCCACCTGCCTCTGTCTCTTGAGTGCTGGGATTAAAGGCGTGTACCACCATGCAAGGATCATGTATGCATTTTGACCAAAGGTTACTGTTCATTTGTTTTCAAGAGAGGTAGGGTGACTGATGCCTCTCTGTTTAAAAAGAATAAAGACTGGTTACCCAAGATGTAGCATAGAGAGGGCCTTCCAAACCCAGACCTGAAACTGATCTGAGCAGTACACGCAGACTGCCTTTATTCCCATCCTCACCCCCAGGTTTTGACGTGTCCGATGGCTTGTCTGCTTATCTGTGGTCACATTTTGGTCCATGCTCCCAGTTCCATTCCTGTGTCCCTTTTCTTGTCCAACCAGGTGAGGCAGGAGGGGGAGTACAGTGGGGAGGCTCTGGGCAGAGGCTTCGGTTGGACGGCCACGAGCTTCTTCTCTCCAGTTCACTCCAAACTCAGCCCCATCTTGCTGTCCACTTTCTCCTCCAGGACTGCACGACCATCTTATGCCCAGACCTGTCTGCCCTGGTTGTCTACTTGAGGGCTGTCCCTTTCTGCAGCTTCACTCATTCCAAAGAAAATTACCACATCTGCGACATTTCATCCTTCTCTGAGACCAAGGCCAAGAGCCTTATCAAGGAGGCAGGTCAGGAGAGAAGAGGGATGGGTAGCTTCAGGCCTGGCAGGCAGGCAGGTGAGTCCCAAGAAACAGAACAAGGGAGCACTGGAGAGATGAGGGAGTTGAGAAACTTCTTAGAGCAGGCAAGGAGAAAAGTGGTTTTGTTTTCAAGGTAAACGCCCAGAGCCCAGTCTGACCTCAAACTTGCTCTGTAATTGAGGATGGCCTTGAACTTCTGATCCTCTTGGCTCTGCCTCCTAAGTTCTAGGACTGCCCCGTACACCACCATTTCCAGTCTGTGCAGTGCTGGGGTGCAAATCTGGGGCTTTCTGCCTGCTAGGCAAGCGCTTGACTAAGTTACATTCCCAACCCATGAAGGAAAAGATTTGTGAATAGTGGGCACAAGGCTCTAGGGAGAAGAAAACTCGGGGGAGGTGGTCACCTTTCTGGAGCCAGCCTCAGATTTCAAGAGTGAAGTAAGTAGAAAGGGTCCTTGGGCCCGGGGAATCGGGAGGACCTACCTCAGGGACAGAACTTCCATCTCCTTCCATGTCCCTTTTTACAGGCAACGAGTTTGTACAGCACAATGCCAGGCAGCTATGCCGTGTGTACCCCAGTCGTCTGAGGACAGACTCGTCCAACTTCCACCCCCAGGAACTCTGGAATGCAGGCTGCCAGATGGGTGAGGAGGGCAGCAGAGACAGGGAGGAAGGGAGTGGAGGATCAGCTGACGGGAGGTAAATTCCCTAGTGGAAATAGGGCCGGGGAATGTTTTAAAAGAGTGCTAGGGTAAGAAAAGTCGAGAAATGGTGCTCTCTATCGGAATGCTCCCAGCAGGCACTGATTGAGGATCATGCTCTGCTCTCTGGCCTAAGCTGGTTTCCAACTGTCTTTCTTCCTCAGTCTTCCAAGTGTGTTACCCAGCTCCAGCAGGCATCCTTACCCCTCTACTGTCTTCTAATTCCCCCCCAAAGAGGGGCTAGAAGGCCAAGGAGAATGTATGTGCATGCATGTAATACACATACGCCTAGGTGTTTATGTATGTATAAGAGAGAATTGTGTGTGTGTGTGTGTGTGTGTGTGTGTGTGTGTGTGTGTGTGTGTGTGTGTAAGAGAGAAAGAGTGGGGAGGGGAAGAGAGGGAGGAAGGAAGAGCGGGGGAAGGGGAAGGGAGAATAGGGTATGTAGCCCTGGTTGGCCTAGAACTTGCTGTGGAGACTAGGATGGTGTTGAAGTTATAGGAGTCCTCCTGCCTCTGCCTCCTGAGTGCTGACTTTACATGTACCATCACACCCAGTTCCCAAGGTGACCTTTTCTTTCTTTCCTGGGATTCTCAGTGGCGATGAATATGCAGACTGCAGGGAGTGCCATGGACATCTGTGATGGGTTCTTCCGCCAGAATGGTGGCTCTGGCTATGTGCTGAAGCCAGAATTCCTGTGTGACATCCAGAGTACCTTCAATCCTGAGAAGCCCATCAGTCCTTATAAGGCCAAGACCCTCTTAGTCCAGGTATGACAGAAACTGTTGGGAAGAACTCGGAATAGCTGGAATAAAAGTGTGTGTGTGTGTGTGTGTGTGTGTGTGTGTGAGAGAGAGAGAGGGAGGGAGGGTGGGGGGGAGGGAGGGAGACAGACACACAGACAGACGGCGGGTGGTGCTGTCTCAACCTGACAGGACTGTAATTGGTTGAAAATTCTCTGCCAGGAGTGGTAGCTCACACCTTTAATCCCAGGCTAGAGCTACACAGTGATCCAGTCTCAAATCAATGAATAAATGACTATATAAAATAATTTCTTTCAGAAGAGGGAGGACAGCCTGATTCAGTTGCAGACTTTGGAGCCAACTGCCTAGTTTCAAATCACTTTTTAGTTGTGCATCATTAGTCAAACTGTCACCTCAGGAAACTCACCTGCAAGACAGGGGTAATGCTACATAACCTGCTTCACAGGGTTGTGAGGACTATCCGTTAAAAGTGCTTACCGCCGGGCGGTGGTGGCGCACGCCTTTAATCCCAGCACTCGGGAGGCAGAGCCAGGCGGATCTCTGTGAGTTCGAGGCCAGCCTGGGCTACCAAGTGAGTTCCAGGAAAAGGCGCAAAGCTACACAGAGAAACCCTGTCTCGAAAAAACCAAAAAAAAAAAAAAAAAAAAATGTTTAAAAGTGCTTACCACCCCTGGGGCACAGTAGGTACTATAGAATTGGTGTGCCTACTTCCAAGCCTTTGGATTCATTTAAAATTTCAGGTTGGAAACTAGAATACAGCATCTCATCTGCAGGATTAGTTCTGCAGTCTATGGAGCTATAGTGCAAGCCCTGTTTTCTCCAGGGTGTGAGGCTGGGTGAGGGAGGGCTGGGCTGAGCAGGGACTCATGAAGTTCTAGTACCCTGGTTGCAGGTGATCAGTGGTCAACGGCTCCCCAAAGTGGACGACACCAAAGAGAGGTCCGTTGTGGACCCACTGGTGAAAGTGGAGCTCTTTGGTGTTCCTGAAGACACCAGGCAGCAAGAGACCGACTATGTGGACAACAATGGTGAGACTGGCCACGGGATGTGTAGGGCCAGACTGCCAATCGCTTTCTATGCTGTCCTCCAGTTGGTGCGGTCCATGTTTCTGTGCACCCCCACGGGAGGCAAAGTGACACAGTCCAGGAAATCCTGGACCTCCTTTATAGACTTGTGAATTGGGAAAATTCCTTATGCCTTTTATTTTGAAAGATTTTTTTTTTTTTAATCTTAGTGTGCATACCACCTCTATGTGCCCACAGAGGCCAAGCGGCATCAGATTCCCTGCACTGGGTTATAGGCAGCTGTGATCCATCAGATGTAGGTTCTTGGAAGTGAACTCAGGTCCTCTGGGAAAGAAGCAAGTGCTATTATTAGCTTCTGGGCCATTTCTCTAGCCCCTGCCTCTGCATGTTACAGCAGTCCTCACTTGTAAAATGCTGACTGGCAATCTAGATTAAATGAGAATTCTGGGAAAGCAACTGAGTATGGCCTAATGAAGATGGTCAGTGTGTTCCTTTATTCCCCTCTCCACTTCAGGTATTAATCCCTACTGGGGGCAGACATTCTGTTTCCGGGTCCGGGTGCCTGAACTTGCTATACTGCGTTTTGTGGTAAAGGATTATAACTGGAAATCCCGGAATAGCTTTATTGGTCAATACACCCTGCCCTGGACCTGTGTGAAACAAGGTGAGGTAGTCCTTGGACTCCTGGCCAATATCCCAACTCTGGCTCCTGTCCTAACAAAGATCGTCTGCCCATTTCCAGGTTACCGACACATATCCTTGCTCTCCAGAGATGGCACTAGCCTCCACCCAGCTTCCATCTTTGTGTATATCTGCATGCGGGAAGACTTGGAGATGGATGAATCCTGAGGTGGGTATTCCATAGCAAGAGTAGATTCATAGGTGGGCTTTAGATGTCAAGGCACAAAATTGCCTCCCTGCTCCCCCCTTCCCCTAAGATAAGGTCTCACCATGTGGCTCGGGCTGTCCTGGAACTCACTATTGTAGCAGACTGGCCTCCAGAGTGCTGAGATTAAAGGCATGAGCTACTATGCCCAGTGTACCTTGCCCTTTTTTTTTTTTTTTAAGATTTTATTATTTATTGTGTATAGTGTTCTGCCTGCCAGAAGAGGGCGCCAGATATCATCACAAATGGTTGTGAGTCACCATGTGGTTGCTGGGAATTGAACTCAGGACCTCTGGAAGAGCAGCCAGTGCTCTTAACCGCTGAGCCATCTCTCCAGCCCTACCTTGCCCTTCTTAAACAAATCTATGTCTTGATCTTTTTATGTGCATTGGTGGTTTTTGCCATAGGCGTCTGGTCTACTAGAACTGGAGTTACAGTTGTAAGCTGCCATGTGGGTGCTGGGATTTGAACCCATGTCCTCTGGAAGAGCAGCCAGTGCTCTTAGCTGCAGAGCTCTCTCTCCAGCCCCCTAGGAGCTGATCTTTCATCTAGTCTTTCCTGCCCTTTCCTGTTGTGCGCCCTGTGCTGGAGTTCCCTCCTTATTCTTGCCCTAGGCTTAGTCCCATCCTCAGCTCTTCTGTTAATCTCTCCCATCATCTCTGACTAGAAACACAGGGAAGGACTCGAAGCAAAAAAATCTACAGAAGCATTATCCCCTCCAACCTACAAGTCCTTCAAAATCCAGAGCCAACGAAAGGATCAATCAAGGATCAAGGCTCCCAGGCAAAGGTTGGGGAAGGATGCCTGACCCCAGAACTACAACTGTCTAAGAGAACAATGAACAGCCCTGAGTCCCCACTGGACTGCTGCTCCTTAGCTGGTCTAAATAGAGCTTCTCTGTCCAATTTGGCTCCCGTATGGTCTGTCATTATGAGGCAAGAAGGAGATGTATGGGGCGGTGGGGGGCAGCATTTGAGTAGTCAGGTGGATGTATGGGCTGTCACTGTTGGGCAAGAAGGGGAAGTATGTGTGTGGGGAAGCATGCAGAGAAACAAGGTTTCCAAGGGCTCTCCTCCATGTGCTGCACAGAAAGGGCACAGGAGAGAGGCTCATAGGGATGGGGCAAAGGGACAGGGTGTGTGGCCTTGCCAGTTGGGCCTTTACACTGCCTAGATGCTTGTACTCCTTGATGCAGCTGCTGGACCAGTCTTCTGACTGATTAAAGCTGCTTCTGGGAGGAAGCGGAATGGGTGGCAATCCTCTTCTGACAAAAAGAGCTTGAAACAGGGAACAAGGGAAGAGCCAGCACAGGTAATCTGGTCTGTTTCAGAACCTCTTTGAGGTAGAGGAGACCAAGGACAGAGGCCTGGGAGGAGACAGGGCAAACCCAGACGACAACCTAGGAATGATAGGACAGGGATCCAGACACATCCGTGAACTGATAATCTTCTCTTTCACATGCTTACAGAGCACTAGGCACAGGAACACATGCAATTAGATATAACTGTTTAGAAAATGGTGAAAAAAAACCCCCAGGACTTGAAGCAGTAAGAAGGAAGAGGTAATGGAGTGAATAAAACAAAACCCTTACAGCCAGGGACTCTGATGCAATAATGGTAAACACAGGCGATTCAGTCACAGGTTAAAAACATAGTGCTACTCAAGAAGAAATCAAGGTGTTAGTCCAAGCCTATCTTTTACATAGCTGTTCATTTCAAAGGCCAGAGTTCCAAGGGTGGGAAGTGTGTTCCAGCCACACTGACATCCCAAAGCCAGCCCTCCTTCAGGACCTAAGCTCCTCAGGCTAGCTATAGTCCCAGTTTGCATATCTTGGACTATATGTTCTTCCTAAGCCAGAGGTGGGGTAGGGCTCAGCCTTCAGGTCCAGTTGGGGGAGCAGGAGGAGCAGGAGGGCTGGGATCTTCCAGCTTCACATCATGTAGGTGCACTGTGGGAGTGGTGGGGTCTTTGCCCACACCCTGGTTGGGGTCGGCCTGGTCAGGGTGGTGCCTGCGCACATGCTTGACCACCTGGAACTTCTGCTTGGCTTTGTAGCTGCAGAGGCGGCAGAAGAATGGGTGGCGGTCGGTATGGGTGAGGGCATGATGTCGCAGGCCAGCAGCCCAGCGGAAAGCACGGTGGCAAACATTGCACACGTAGGGCTTGGCCTCACTGTGCTTGCGCAGGTGGGTGCGCAACAGGAAGCGTGTCTTGAATGCCTTGCCACACTGCTCACACATGAAAGCCCGTGCCTCTCGGTGTCGTGTCTCCCGGTGTACACGCAGCGCATCAGCCCGGTTGGTACAGTACTCACACTCGGGACATTGGTATGGCTTCAGTCCTACAGGACAAGCACAAACCACCATGGAAGAGGGAAAAACAAGGGTCAATGAGTCATAAAAAGTCAGCATGATCCTTGGATATAAAGAACACAGCACAAGCTAAGGACCATACTTTTCTGTCCCAGTCACACCTGACATTCTGGTGCCTTTCTCCACTCAGTCCTTGTATACACACAGGTCCCAGTGGATGCTGATGACTAATTGGAATTCTAACCTACTAGTCTACCTGAGAGTAAAGAATACTCAACTATGACAGGGTTATTAAATGGGAAACTCCGACACTTCTTTGGTCATGTGATACTATAGAACTTAAAGACTCCATTTAGACATACTTTCTTTCTTTTTTTAGAGACAGGGTTTCTCTGTGTAGTTTTGGTGCCTGTCCTGGATCCCGCTCTGTAGACCAAGCTGGACTCAAACTCACAGACCTCCACCTGCCTCTGCCTCCTGAGTGCTGGGGTTAAAGGTGTGCAGCACTATCACCCGGCTTTAGACATACTTTCTTATCAAACTAAAAAAAATAAGAGAAACTGCTGCAGGCCGCAGGAATATATCATAAGAACTCAGCTGGTTATGGCAAAGTCACTACCTGGAGGGATCAGGGAATTCCTCCAGAAGAAGCCAAATCCCAAGGAGTTTTTGGTGTTATTTGGCTTGTTATATATCAGCTGTCTTCTGTTATGAAAATCATGTGTGCCTTCACAGTTTTCCCATTTGACTTTTCCCTAAGAAGGGCTAACAGTGTGGACTGATCACTCTCTGGACATACAAATTCCAGGTGTTTGGAGAACTGCCTCAGGAAAGGCTTTCTCTGGAATCAGATATCTCCCTTGGCCACTTTCAAGGACTAGCAGTAGTAACAGTCCACATGCAAGTCTCCCGATATAAGATAAATTCCACAAAGAGACACTGCCTAGGTCAGGTGGATGTTAAGCAATAGCCTTATACAATTTAGCTCGGACCCTCCTTTCTTATAGCCTTACTAACTTTATAGACCTCTAACTCCTTACCTAACCACTTCTAGGAATATTTAGATAACCTTCTGCACTGACAGCTATGCTCAGCCAGAACCCCAGTTCAAGCCTCCTTGTAATTATCATCATTGGCAGCTTCCGGCCAGGTCCATCCCCAGATAGAGGAAAAGTACCTTATCAGAGATACCTCTGTACTCTCTAAGAACAGACTTAACCATCCAGGCTACCTGTTTGAGAAGGCCTGGCGGATGTGCCAATTAAGCTTTACTTCCTCCTTTCCCAAACCTTACCTCTATCCAGATCTCCCTTTAACTATCACCAGAGGCATCTAGCTGTACACAGGTTGCCTGGCGACTGAGCACACTTACCCCCACCCTGCAGAAAAATGGCAGATAGCTTGGACAGATATGAGCCACAGGAAAAAAGAAGTTTTATTTTCTCCCATTGACCTAGCAACTTATAGATTCTTAACATTTTCTACCAATCACGTTTAAGATTATAGTTGAGCACATAACAGCCCTCTTCTTAGATATTACCCGAATTTAGCCTTTAGTTAATTCATTCCCCAATTGGTCACTTCCCTTTGGGGTTGCAAATGATAATTAACGGTTATTGCCTCCCTATGTGATTCTTATCACCCCTCCGTTTGACTCTAGAAGCCTGGCTTTGCACTAAGGGAATACTGCTTGTAAGTACATATATACCAGGACTTCCAGGGCACGCAGAGGATGGAGAAAAGAGAATGGATGAACTAGATGGGTAAGAACTTGAGAGGAACAAACTGAGATGGGAGAGGAGAAGGAGACGGGAGAGGAGATGATATGGGAAAGAACAAGATGGATGAGAACCTAGAAGGGGCAGAACTAAGATGAAGGAATTAAGATAGAACCTAGAGGGGACCACAGACAAGTGTAGAGAGAAATCAGGCAAGAAAGGAGCTAAATATGAGAGCAGAATATAAGCTTGTAACTGACACAGAGTAATAAAGTATATGGACTAAGGAGTTTCGTGTACATAGATTTATTTCTTTATATCAAGGATTAATTATCAGCTGGTTGTAGATTCTTCCCGGACCCTGGGAGGGAACTATTGAGGGGCTGGACCCCCATAGTCCACGATAAGAAACTAACTAGGTGGTGGTGGCGCATGACTTTAATCCCAGCACTTGGGAGGCAGAGGAAGGCTGATATGTGAGTTCGAGGACAGGCAGGGCCACACAGAGAAAGCCTGTCTTGAAAAACAAAACACAACAAAAATAAAAACAAAAAAAACAAAGAGAAAATGTTAAAAAAAAAAAAAGATAAAGATATTCCTCCACATATGGGGGAAATCACATGCCATAATCAAAGGTACCCCATCATTAACCCTTTACAGAGAACCCATGGTTTGTGGATTCCATACCCTAGAAAAGAAGAAAAAAATAGGGAACTCAGGGCTAGAAAGATGGCTCAGCAGTTAAGAGCACTGGCTGCTCTTCCAGAGGACCTGAGTTCAATTCCCAGCACCCACATGCAGCTCACAACTAACTATCTGTAACTCCTGTTCCAGGGGATCTGGCATCCTCACAGAGAAATACATGCAGGCAAAACACCAATGCACATTAGAAAAAAAGAGCGGGGGTGGGGTGGGGGGGATGGGGGGTAGGTGGGGGGGTGGATTTTCACCTTTCTCCTCACTTACAATCATTCTACCACGTTTACACGGAAACCACGTATCTCTCAGTGGTTACTCAAAATTGATCTGGAGGGTCTCCGTGTGTGTGTGTGTGTGTGTGTGTGTGTGTGTGTGTGTGTGTGTGTGTGTGTGTGTGTGTGGTCTTGGATCATAATAATACACTTGCCCAGCTTCCAGGTTTACCCACTCTTTGATGTCTAACACATTTCAATGGACTGGCAAACCATTTCTGGTGTGTTCTTCCTGTGTAGCCCCTATTCCCAGGGTGAAAACTGATGTAGGCTCTGAGTCTGAGTGAGGACATCCAACATCTCAGGGAGGTCAAGTTTGCTAGAGAACAGGGAAACCCTTTGAGCAAGACAGTCAATTCCCACCCTTCCTTACCTGTGTGCTTGGTCATGTGGTATTTGAGTTGGTTGACCCACTTGCACTTGTATCCACACTCAGGGCACAGGTACTTCCGTTCCTCCTTATGGATCCGCATGTGGTACTAGAAGGAAGATCCAATGCAGAATGTTTACTCCCCGTGCAGCAGGGGCTCCCTCGGGTCTCAGCTGTTTCTTACTAGTTATGTTGTAGGGTAAGCTAACTCCTAATTCTGTTTAATAATCTGTAACACAGTGTCTATCTCTGTGTGCATGTGGTGATGTGGGGACTAAACTCAAGGTCTTGTGTATATTAGGCAAGCAAGCATTACCATCACTAAGTCCCTACCCAGTGACCCACCTCGTATTTTCAAATGATTAAAATTGAGTACTAAAACTGGGCGGTGGTGGTGCACGCCTTTAATCCCAGCACTCGGGAGGCAGAGGCAGGTGGATCTCTGTGAGTTCGAGGCCAGCCTGGTCTCCAAAGCGAGTACCAGGAAAGGCGCAAAGCTACACAGAGAAACCCTGTCTTGAAAAAAACCAAAAAAACA